CCTTCTCTGAAAATGATGATCTTTTCATGTGTTTGGGGTTCCCACAAACGGGGCTCCTGCTGCCTTTTGTTAGGACCGTGTCTGGCCCCACTTGACCGGCCTTTCTCTCTCAACTCCAGCATTTCCCTCAACTGCTCAGTGTCCAAAGCACGTTACAGCCACTCACAGCCACTCACTGTCTCTCTGCTCGACACAGCGCCCCTTCATTTCACCTTCTGGAGACAATGCCACGTGGAAGAAATACAGAGTAAAGTCAAATCCCAAGTCTGCCCTCATATAGTCCTTGTAGCCTCAAAAAAGCTCTCGTCTCTGAGCGGCAAATCGTTCTACTGTGTACAAGGTCAATTAAGGTGAAGAGAGTTGTTCAAGGGCTAAAACATACTGAACATAAGAGTACACGCAGAATCATGAAGCACATGACAGACAGGTGTCAGTAACAGCAATACCCAAGCCACCTGAGTGGTGGCCACTGTGATGCCCAAGTCATCGAGGCTGGAACAGTTCCTGTTGTATCACTGTACAGGAAAGCCCAGCAGGGTCCAGAGTTAAGCCATCACACTGAGCTCAGGGACCACTCGTTCTCTGGCTGGCCCAGAGAGCTTCTCTGATGACGTGGGTCCACAGAGTACCATCCCCGAGGTCCTACAGCACTCGGTAGTGATCACTCAGGACAACAGCTACCACACTTCTTCAGGTATGGCCTTACCAAAGAGGGTAGTGAAGCTGGCTGTGCAAAGGTCTTAAAATGTATTACCATACATGTGCACGGAGGAGCAACTGACTATGCCAGACAACTCCTGGGAGTCAGAGCTGTCCTCCCACCATGGGTCCCCGGGCTACACAGCCCATCCATTACACAGTAAGAGCTTTTGCTCTCTGAATCAAGAGAACAGCCAGTAGAAAGAACCACCCATCACCATCACTGTACTATCCTACTTGCTAACTACAAATAGACTATCTATGAAGAGTCTATGAAAAATAAAAGCTTTGTGGCCTTTGCTGGCTTTAACACTGAATGAATTTTCCCAGTAGAATTAGTCTATATATTACTAAATTTTAAATTCTGCAAAATGCTTCTGAAAGTTTTCAAAGCAATAACAAAACCCATTTTTTTATATGCTAACCTAACAATTAAAAAAATTACAGATTTAAGATAGTGAGTTATCCTTGTGCTCTGGGGTGCAGAGATGACAGAGTCATAAAACTGGACGTAAAAGATCCTTCTCATAATCCACACATTCCTGCTTTTTCTACAATTGTGATGAGTGCCATGCAGTGGTTTTAAACAAGGGGAAAATGTACTTTAGAAATGATTTTATAATATTTTAGTAACTCTTAGGGAAAGTAAATATATACTGTTAAGTACAATCTCCAGGAAAGCTAAGTGATAGCGTCAAGGGGAAAGAGCTGTGAAGAAGCTTGTACTAGGTGTGGTGGTGAAGAGAGATGGGGAAAAGCAGATATGATATGGTTTAGAACCGATAGGCAGATGAGAGAAGCCTGGCTGCTGGCTCTTCACCTACTGGCCCGGGGCACTGAGAGCCCCAGTGTGGCGGCAGGGGCCGTGGGAAGGAGTGACTTGAGACTACCGAGGTCCAATCTTCAATCTCATACACCAAATTGGACAATGCAATCTGGAACCAGAGAGAGAAAACAGAGGGGACAGAAACGTAGGTAGGATTAAAGACAGAGACATAACTTTAAAAAAGCTGTACCCCTCTAACATTCAAAGATGAGAGAAAACCCAAGTGGAGAGAAGAGTAATAACAGGGGCGCCTGGTACTCAGCTCTACTGACGTCACAGGTACATCAAGCGCAGAAAGGAGACCTGTGGGCTCATCACTGTAAGGTCACCGGGAACAGTTTGAAAGACTAAGTGGCATTTTCTTGTAAGTCGGCCAAACCCTCTGGGCAGACAACTTCAGCAAAGTGCAAGCACAGGAGTCTGCTCAATGTGCGCAGGGGGAGCATGTCACAGAAAGGTTCTCATAGCAAGTGACCCAGGCCACCATACTGTAGTGGAAGGGGAGCACGTACGGCTGGCTTCTAGAAGCGCTCAGAATTAAACATTCATGTCCGCAGCTGAAGTGCTGGGAAGACAGTAAGGAACCTCACCCTTATCAGGTCAGGTCTTGGCATTCTATTAACAAAAATTCCCATTTCAGAACCCTTGCATTTCAAAAGTGTGGGTTCAGAAGTGTGCATTTAATACGAGTTTTGAGAAAAGCTGAAGCGCCTCAGAGGGGTCTGAATTAAACTCCAGCTCTCCTCCATACACACTGCATGAACTTCGACAAAAGGTCCAGCTCGATGAGCTCGGATGGTGTCTGTTGTGGCTCTTCTGGGAACCGTGGGGACAGTTACTAGGTCGGAAACTTCTGGTACCAAGGTTGGTACTGGAAAGCGGGACGGCTGTCCCCGTGTGCTCAGGGCTCCCTGGATTTACCATGGAGAGTAGTACCACATCTTGGGAAACTAGAACAGTTGGTCACTCCACTCGGCAGGCAGTCACAAATGGGACACATTCCAATGTGAGAAAAATAGAAGTCGATGGAGAATAAAAATGTACAGCCAGGGAAAAATGACTGGAAACAGTTTCAACAATGAAGCAGGTCGCGCCCGAGGTGGCGGAGCCCTCACTTCCCACAGCCTCCCACAGCCTCATGTGTGTATCCTGCAGGCCTCTTTCCAGAACAGAGGTGGCAGCAGCCACTCCAGGGGGCCCTTCTCCAGAGGCAGAACCAGAAAAACTGCAGAGGGGAGGGCCTAAAATGACATGCAGGCCCAACAACCTGCATGAGCATACTGTGAGCATCCCAGACTGAGAGATTTTGAGCTGAGGCTACACTGTTTGAGGATTTCAAAACTACAGCACTGTGAGACCTGAACTATATGCTGCTTTTAGCAAACATATTCATGCAGGTTTATTACATATCTTTAAGTTACGTTTTGTATACCTACTGCAGTAAGTTTGAAAATAGCTGTTAAATATAATTCCTCAAAGTATATATAATTCCTCAAATTCTCCAAGAGTTAATAAAAATATTATATATATGCATATATATAAAACTTTTAGAAAGAAAAGTTCAAACTCATCAGAAAGGTATTAGTAAATTAAACTCACAGCTGGCTTTACAACTGAAATTCTCACATTTCAACAGTAGAGTGTAAAATGGTATAACCACTTTGGAAAACTACTTGGCAATTACTGCTCTTAAATACATACCAATACTACGGCTCAGAAATTGCACTTTCTGAGTGCAGAGCTAGCTCTACAAACGATATATATTGTGCATGAATGTTCATAGCAGTTGTGGTTATTAATAGCCAAAAACTGGAAGAAATCCAAATGCTCATCTATAGAATGGACAAGTGGTGTATCTTATGTCAACGGGAACTAACAGCAGTTAAAGGACAGTCTAACAATGTACACCATAGGAGTGGATCTTAGACTTTACACTGAGTGACACTATACAATGAGAAACACGGGTTACCTTTCAGAGGGGTGTGTCTCACTGGGCACAGTAGCAACTCTGTACAATATCTGACAGATGGACACTGCACCAACAACATCTATAACAACATCTATGAAACAAAGAGTAAGCTCGCAGACCTGCAGTGAACCTGCTGAAGCTTTGATCTTCGACTACAGCTTTCGTAACTATGAACAATAAATCTATATTGTTTATAAACTATCTAGCCCAAGATATTTTATTACAGAATCAAAAATGGTCCAAGATGAATATAAAGTCAGAGAAAGAACAGCAGCAGGTACTGGAATACTCCATAATTAATGTGGTGAACGTTTACATGTGAGAATACACGTTATATTGCTATAGTATGAATGCTGAGCTCCTCTCTAAATCCCTAAGTTGAAATATAACCTAAAGGGAAGGCCTTTATCAAGGGACTAAGTCAGGAGAGCAGAGCAGAGCCCTCCTCAACAGGATTGGTATTCTCACAGGAGATCCCAGAGGGTCTCTAACCCTATCCCCAACAAGAAATAATAGACAGTATACCCCCATCATCTCCACAAAACCCTCTGAGTTGGCAACCCAGATTCCAGACCAACCTCCAGAACTGTGGGAAGTGAGTCTGCATTGATCATAAACTACCAAATCTATGGTATTTACTTATAGCTGTCTGAGTGGATTAAGACACGTATCTCAAAAATATTCTTGCTTTTGCATAACCATCCAATGACATTTTAAAATACCCCAGATCGTCACAGATTCCTCATAAGAAACACTCAAATAAGCTAATGAGCAATGAAGCAATTACCATGGTGCTATATATAAATAAACTCAGCAAGGAACTATCCATCCTGGCCCTCTTATAAATACAGTTGTTAGCACTCAAGCATCCCTCAACAAATAGTAGAATAAACTTCACATATATAATGCCACTTTTGGGTTTCAGAAGGCCAGAAGAATCTATGTATAAATACAGAACATACAAACATCAGTAACACAGAGCCTACGCAGTGTGAAAACAGTGGATGTTGTCAGATCAGTGAAACACAGGCTGGTGTGTGGCACTGACCACGCCCATGGCTCCACCCCCGAGATAGTCCTTCTCTGGTGCTCAGCCATCACCTCAGAAACACAGTAATTAGCTACTCCAGTGGAGGCAGCCCCACTGAGCCTGAGGATAGAATACGCCCTTCTCGGTCATGGAAACCAGGAACCTAAAAAGCTGGTTAGGGTCGTTTGTGTGATGCTTCTACCGTAATCAGATACCCCACAGTGGGCAGCCCCCAAAAGGCTGCGCCCTTCTCGGGTGGGGGAGGGGAGCAAGAAAGGAGGGGCACACGTGACTTACTTGTGGAAGGACAGGGCACTGTGAACAATGCCCACTGCAGACAGGAGATGAAATTCACAGCATCAAGTCTCACTGCCACCAAGTCTAAGAAACGGGAATAAAGTTTGGGGACCAGGGAGGAGGCTGAAAAAGACCACTAGAAGTGACCACAGAGAAAAGGAAGCAAAATGACAGCTCACCTCACTGTTGTGGCCTCGAAGGTTGAAGTTTATCCTCTGCGGAGTACTCCTATCTCTGCGACAGTGACTAGAGGTGAAAGTCACCCCCACCACACCACGCCCATTGCCCGTGGCCAACCATCCTTCTTCATAGTAGCGCCTTCTGCACACAGGCTTCTCCTTCTCGCTCTTGGGGACACGCCCTTTCCAGGACAGGCAGAGGATGTTGGAGTCACTGCACAGCACAGGCCCGTGTTCCACTGATGCATACATACTTTTTTCAATAAATTATTTCACTTAAAAAGAATGGAAAATTTCAAACCAAGTTCTTTCATTGGCTTATTTTTGTGGCTGGACTTGGTTGGGTTTTGTTGTTTGTTGTTGTTTTCTCCTTTAGTTACGACTGATTTAGAGTCTAATTAGGGCAATACTTTATCAAGATCCACCAAATGCATAGTGAAAAACTTCCTCTGTAAAAGATAACACCAGTCTGCTAAGAAAGGTAATGCCTAAAAACACATGGGGTCCGTTTTCATTTTCAAGCTCTTAGGGGGAAAACATGCCAATCCTTTGGAGAAAGAACTTATTAGTAAGTGGTGATGGAGAATCAGTTCTCTTCGTCTTTACCCAGTTTGGTTATTCTCGGCCTGAGATTCCAGTTTTGTGCAATGTGATTCCAGAGATAAAGAGTTGCGGACACAATGATTTCAAGTAACTTAAGGCGGTAAGAATCCCTCTAGCTGGAATTTTCTACTTAAAAGTTCAAACGAAGACAATGAACATACAAGATCATCATCTTTGCGAAGCCACCCTCCGACACATTTTCTGAACTAGACAGATTTCTGCTGTACAGCTGAAAAAGGTTGCATACGGGAAAAGGCACACTAACGTGCAAAATCAGGCTGGAGCTCGGGTGCAGACAGCAGCCCAAATTTTAGGAAGAAAAACCCTTTTCCCCACTGTTCACAATCAGAAGCTCCCTGTCTCAAAGGCTGGCCCTGTGTCCCCAGGAACATGTGGCTCCCTAGAATGACTGCTCCATCGGCTGGAGCACCCCTCAGTGCCATAGGGACTGGAGCAAAAGCAAAGCCCCTTCCCTCGGTGGGGGTAGAGGCTAGCGCTGCATTCGGCCTGGACCTAGAGCTTCCCTTCCTCCTGCTTCTTCCTGGCAAAGAGGCTGCAGCCGTTTGCTTCTCCTTAAACTCGTTTCTCTGTGTTTCTGCTCCTAAAGATCGTGTGTTCTTCTATCTTGGTAGAAAAGAAATGGACTTAGAATTGAGTCCATTACACAATCTTCCTCTCACATCCAGGTCTTTAGACCATCCCTCCAGGTGTGTATCAGTGTCCTCCAAGCTGTAACATCTCTCTAGAGCAGCTCTATGCTCTAGACACCTTCCTGTTCACGTTCAAGTCTGTTCACAAACCTTAGATCAAGCAGGTTCTTCCTTGGTATTTATTTTGTTATTGACAGTTCCTATTAGAATTTTGGAATACCTTATATATGCAGAAAAAGAAAAAGATAATAAATAAAAATTATTTCAAATAGTTAGCTAAAGATGCAAAGGAATCTGTTCCTTTTCAGATCTGTCCCCTCTGGAGCCACAACCACAGCAAAAGTTACTAAGTTTCAGAGTTTTAAAATCTGCTCCTCCTTTAAACTGGAGAGGTAATCTTGGGGCTTAATATGTGTAAACTTTTTCTTCTGCAAACGTGCTCTGCCCATGAACACCATAAGGAAAATTTGTCATTAGTGATGGACTGCTCTCCACAGACTCCAGACCCCAGCAGTATGAAGCTGTTTCATCTGATGCTCAGATTAATTGTCATTGCAAAACTCTCTATGTGCAGAACGAGGCTGTCTTCTTATGAAGGTGTGTGTACAGAGAAAGGGTTTACATGTATAGATATACTCTTCAACTGGCACTTGATGTGTCTGTTTTCCCAGTTCATTCAGGAACCGTCAGATTATCCATGACTCGAAGGTCTTGGGCTCTTACAAATCTGCAAAGCAATGACAAAAATATGTATATATTTTAAAATAACAAATACAAGTTCTAACAAGTAAGTGCTGTAGCTGAAACTAAAGAATAGTTTTATGACTATCTGATGAAGCCATTGATTGCCGTGACCGGTAAAATCCAAGTAGTAAATACATTTGAACACTCCCAGAAAACAAGACAAGATTCTTGTGACCTCAGTGTCTTGAAAACATGAAACTGTTATAGGAATGTGTCTTCATACTCCTCCCAGTTGTAGCAGAGAGGGGTGAGTTTACCTCAGATCACTCTTCATTACTTGCTGCTGTCATTCAATTCAATATTTAAACTGTCTTTTCTGTGCCTCTATGGGAACATGTGTGTGCCATGTGCAGCTGTCCTTCTGACGGTACACAGCTGAAACTCATGAGTGCTTTACTCTGTGGCCTTTCCTAATGCTCAGAGTATAAAGAGTGAATAAGGCTGACTAGTCTACAGCCATACCACCCTGAACGTGCCCGATCTCGTCTGAATAAAGCTGACTACTGCATGAGACTTTAGTCTGCCTCATTGGTTGGTTCCATTCTCCCAGGCCTACCCACTCTCTCTAGAGCAGTGATATGTGTCTAACATCCCATATCAGGTAAAGGTGGAAGAAGATGCAGCTAAGGAGTTCTGAAGAGTTCTGAAGAGTAAATAAGAGTAAGCACAGTACACCCAAAGAGGAAATGTCTCTGAGCAGCCATCAAAAGCCTAAGCTGAGCAGACACTGGGAAAGCACAGGTCAGTGAAGTGTAGGCCCTGAGCCAAGCAGCACAAGCTTCTGTACCAAGACAGCAGTGCTGCAAACTAGAGTCAACAAGCATTACAGGGAAAGTTGAGAGAAGCTTGCTGCAACTATGTCCTGCAACGTAGCCACAAGTCAGCTCACAGAAGTATGCAATTTAAGCCAAAGGACATTCTCTCCTAGCCTGTGCGGGCAGAAGCACACTTGTGGTACACACATATTTTAAAAAAGAAAAAAATGTGGTTCAGATTAGAGAGAATGTCAAGGAAAGGGAAAAAAAAAAATCAAATTACATTGCCAGCTAGGACAAACTGGATGCTACAGATTAGAACCAACATACTTAATAGAAACAATGCTTTGTGCCTGACCCTACCATTACTTCACAATAATTACCTTTTCTATAAAGATCATTTTTTTTTCCTACATCTAGATCTATAAGCAATCAAATGGGCTTAGAGAGCGAACGGAGTAGGAGAAGGCCTCCAAATAAGCGATCCTGGAGAGGCCAAGATATCAACAGACAAACAGCAGAGCAGTGACGAAGCAGGGTGAGCAGCCTGCTCCAAACTGGGTAAGGTCAGGGGGCTTCAGGCTTGAGTGCAGTGTGTTCCAGACTTTATTACTTAATATTCCTAATCTGAAAAGCCCTGAGTCAGAAGTGTTGCTTTCAGATGGGAAGTGATCAACCTTTGCAATTCTGCAGCCAGACTCCCTGGCCAGTACGGTTCTCATGTGCCCCAACTGGACCCTTCTATGACTCCATTCCTTTAAGGTATAAGAATAAGGGAAAACTAAAAGAAATATATGAAGGCACTGCAAATATTTGCCAGGCTGCCATATAATATTTAATAAATGTGGGACATTGTCATTGTTACGTTATTAATATCCTACCATTTGTAAAATCTGGAATAGAGTAAAAGGCTTTTCAAAGACAATTCACTCCGAGTCTATCTCAAAAGCAGGAATAAAGGATAATGCAGGAAGGGGGATTCCCTCCCATCACAGCTAACGGCTAAGACATAACCCTTCTTACCGAACGGCCATGTTATAAGAGTGCGTACTGGAGAAAGGAGAAAGGCTGAGCAAGAACTAGCAACTGTCCCATTACCAACGGCCCACTGCTCACCTTCACGCTCACAAGTCCCAGGGAGATAAGACAACCACTTTACAAATTCTTAAATCAAGGTTCAAAGAGTTTAAATGAGGGTTTCAAAACTCACTAGTCTAAGAGTGACAGAAACAAGAGTCAACGTCTCACACCAATATCGTCCTTTTCCACTGAACCACACTGCCAAGACTAACAAGAGTCATTTCCACTCCACACCCATGTTGCTGTAAAACAGGAAAAGCCTTGTGATTATTTGATGAGAACAAAAGTGAATCAAGACCAAATTTAACTATTCTCAGACTCCAAATATCTAGAGGGAAAAAAAGGACTTAAAGTGAGAAAATAGTGAAACTTCACGGGTAGTAGGGTAATTTATTAACATCTAAATTATTACTTGTTTTGGTTTGGTTTGGTTTTGGTTTTTTGAGACAAGGTTTCTCTGTATTGCTTTGGAGCCTGTCCTGGAACTCACTCTGTAGACCAGGCTGGCCTCGAACTCACAGAGATCTGCCTGCCTCTACCTCCTGAGTGCTGGTAATAAAGGCGTAGGCCACCAATGCCTGGCTATCATCTAAATTATTAAGGCATCATGTTCTGTAGTATCTCTTGTTCATGCTTTTAAATAAAAGTCAATTTAGCTAAAATAGGGGATTATACCTGATTATTTTCAGAACACACACAATACTTACTGATAAATCCACTCTATATAGATAGTTGCAATCCCCTAATTTTTTTTTTATTATTATGCATACAGTGTTCTGTCTGCATGTAACCCTGCAGGCCAGAAGAGGGCACCTGAGTGCATATAGATGGTTGTGAGCCACCATGTGGTTGCTGGGAATTGAACTCAGGACCTCTGGAAGACCAGACAGTGATCTTAACCACTGAGCCATCTCTCCAGCCTGCAGCCAGGGTGAAGTTTCCATTTACAATGACCATGCTACAGATAAGAAGCTACTGCCCAGCACTCATGGTCAGTCAGCACAGTGAGGATGTGGGTGACGTTTTCCAATTCTGCTTTATTTTTCCAGAAAACAATCTGACAAAACGCAGAATGCGATTAAAACCAACATGACTGAAGCTAAAACAAAGAATCAACCAAAGATATCCACAAAATGTGCTATCTAACATCGGCCGAACTCCAGCCGGTGCATTATCACGGGACAGGAGAGGAAGTCATATAAAAGTGTAAAGTTCCCCAAATCACCTCTATCTAAGCGTATAATTAATGAATAACAGACTTTAACGAAAGCAGATTAAGAGAGTTAAGTAAGATGGAAAACACAACTGCTATGATCTAAGTAAATTCTGGTATGCTAACTGTTGTTAGCTCCTAGTAGTCAGGGTGATGTACTAACAAGTTTGGAATCTTGGCCTGGAAATCTGATGCAAGGGTTAAGATCACTTATTCTTTCAGAGGATCTGGGTTCAATTCCCAGCACT